GTCTGGGGACATGGAATTACATTTGAAGCTAATGAGTAAAAGAAAATTGTCAGTGGATTACCCATTATGTAATGTTTCAGCTCAAATACCAGGTGTTTTAATCCATCAATACATAAATATGCTGTCTTGAAATAAAAAAAAAATGCAAATGGTGAAATACATTTGACTGAATGTTTCATTCACAGGTAAAGTTATGGAATGACTTATGTGATGTTTGTTTTTAAGCACTGAAGAAGATTTTTGGGCCATTTTAAAACCAACACATGGTAAGTCATTAAGAAAATGTTTTTTTCTTTTAGTTAAATGACTGGAGCAAAGATCTCCATTTACACTCACCATACAACTTTGTTAGGCACACTTTGCAAATACCAACTTGGACCCTCTTTTTTCCCATCAGAACAGCATGACACAGATTCCTGTGAGATTTTGGGCCATTTTGAAACGACAGCATCACACAGTTACTGTAGATTTGTCAGCTCCTCATCCATGATGCAAATCTCTTTTTAATATATATTATTAGAATTTAAAGGATATTTGTCAGCATTTGTTATTTGTTTGAATAAATATTACAATGTAAATATTGATTTTGGAGGGTATACGAGTCACAGGCATGTAGAAATCTCATGTCTCAAACAAATGCATCAAAGCCACATCAGGCAGGCTGATAACACATTTTATTGTCATTCGATTTTTTTAGCTCTCAAATGGTTCAGTCAAAACAAAAGGAAAGAAAACTGCACAAAATAACAAAACTGGATATAAATAGATACATTATTGAATAAGGTTAAAGACTAAAAATAATACGGTCTAAAATAAACAATAGTCAGTTAAACTAAAAAGCCTTGTGAACCAGCTGCTGCGACAGACTTGACCAAATTGACAAAGACTAACGATAAAGACATTTCATGTATATTTTTAATTTGTTTTACTTAGTCACACTCCAGCCCAGTAGGTGAATCTGAGTGCTGGATTTCAAAGGCAATGAGAAAGATTTGCGTGCGGTTCGCGGAACCAACGTTCAGCCGCAGGTTTACCACGGACGTATCTAAGGTGCTGCACAATGGTTTCCTCGCGATTCTGGGTTGTGCATGTCCAGTTGTGAAAAAAAACAACAAAAAAACCCCAGGAACTTTTGATTTGATTTCTACGTGCTGTACATCAGTTGTCTTTTAATTTCACGGTTGGAGCAAGGCGGTTGTTTACTCAGTATATCGGTAAGTGGTCTAACTCAGCTACAAGAGGAAGGTAACTGGTGGAAGTGTAAGGTTAAATATGGAGCACAGAGAAAAGCAGGCAAGCTGATTATGATAATAAGGCAGTACCTGAACTGGTTTAATGTGTGCATAAAGTATCCTAACGTAGGATTGGGAGCTGAATGGTCCTGTGAAGTGTTTAATTAGAAAGGTGTTAAAATGTTGCAGGAAGAGAGACTGTGATGGAAACAGCGGAGGAGGTGAACGTTTCGAAGAGGGCAGACGTGGCTGCAAAGGGTGAAGCTGCGATCAAACCAGAGTAAGATACCGTTAATAACTAAGAAAACTGTGGAAATCGCATTTTTATGTTTTTGCGGCAGATTTCAGGAGAGGGAAGCTGCAAATTAGAACAATCTTTCTCCAACTTTCAAAAGAGACAGACAGCCATGAGTCAGGGGACTGAAGATAACGCCAGATTTTTATGATGAATGTAAGCCAGTTAGTAAGATGGGAGCAAGCATAGCTGAATAAATAACCATGTGTTTGAGTTTATGAAAGAACAAAGCAGACCATCTGACAAGGCACGTGACTGTAAGGAGGCTGTCTATATCTGAACTTGTTAAGATGTTCGTGTGAATTTATGTGAAAAAAACTGTAGAAAGTGTCTATAAGAGATAATAACTCATTTACACAACATAAAAAATATGACCCTGTAGGG